CTGCAGAAACTGGGAACTCTAAGAAACTGGGAACTGCCCTCTAAGCAGTGGGCAGGCTAACAAAAGTAATGCAAATCACCCTGACAGCCAAACCCTTTATTTGAGAGAACCACCTGGTCGGGTGAGGGATTGTCCTCTAACTACATTTTCCAGACAGTTTCCTTTGGCAATCAGAGCGGGTGGCCTGAGAAGAATGCTGTACTGGGCCACTTGGTGAGATGGGAAAGTGGAAGGTGAAATGCAGCTTATTTCCCCATGCTCAGAGGCTTGGAGGAAATCTGGTTGGCAGTAGTCACAGCGTGCTTACTTGTGGAGCTGATGCCACATGGCAATCTGTCTTCTGGGGTTCCTCAGCATTTCTTCCCAGTGGTTCCTCTCTGTGCCTGTGACATGCAAACCCAGGCTGCACTTGCCGAGCACTTGGCTTTGCCCGGCACCATCCTGGCTCAGAATTTCCAGCTCCACACTGGAGGCACGTAGCAGCTCGTGAGGCACCTCAAACATGATCATCTCATTCCAGACGGGGTTGATCTTGTGCTTTGCACGTTTGGTCTGCTTCTTCTTCAGCTTCAAGGACTGATGCCTCAGGGTCACCTTGACAGAAACGTCTACAGAGAAATCAGAGAGACTGTATTAATGCACATTTAATAAAATGAATGCCAGAGAACTTTAACTGTTGACAACAGGCTGAGTAGGAGAAATATGAGAAACATTGATCTTGGGGTTTTTAGCTTTCCCTTTTTAAAAAGTTGTTGAAACCTCTTTAGCTTTCTAAGTCAACTGTTCAGGTTTTTTTTTCTAGTGAACACCATATTTCCCACTTTCTATATTTACTTCATAGCAGAAACAATAATCTCAGTTTTTATTGCTATTCCACTCACCATTTCCAAGTAGATCTTTCAGCTGCTTGGAATGGAGATTTTTAGCCTTAATAATCACCACGAGCAGGCGGTTTGCAGCTGGCAGATAGCTGATAGAGAGCAGAACTTCCCCATAGCCTGTAGATGGATCCTGGAAATTGAGATGTATAAAGAGTTAATTTTGTATGCAATCTAGGTCTAACATTAGGAAAACTAAATAACACAAGATGAATTTAAAGTCATAGACTGATCAAACTGTCTCCCCATCTCAGTACAGGAGACTTATCCATTTACATTGGATCAGATCAAACCAGGCAGCATATTCAAGTAACCTTGTTCATTACAGGGACCAGAACACAATGATTACTCCTTTCTTTTGCTACTGGAAAGCAACTGAGGGAAATTTAGGTTAGATGTTAGTATGAAATTATTCAAAGTGTGGTGAGGCACTGATACAGACTGTCCAATGACGCTGAGGATGCCCCTTTACTGAAGGTGGATGGGGCCCTGGGAAGCCTGAGCTGGTAGTGACAGCACTGCCCATGGCAAGGGGTTGGAACTGAGTGGTCTTTGAGGTCCCTTCCAACTCAAGCCTTTCTATGATTCCATGAACTACATCCTAACAGCTATTTCCAGTGGAATATTTGATTGGAAGAGAATTTGGGGCTGAACTCTGTGTAAGTATTCCATCATTTTGTGAGAGACTATCTAGCTGTCCTTGATTTATATCCCCTACTTCCATTACTGCTCTTTTTAATTCACTCATCACTTCTGTGAGGGGTCTCTGAGCAGACATAGTCCCAGGTCTCCACTGCTTAACTGTCAGGCTGTCTGGGAAAGAGTAGGTAAAGCATTGGCTTGCGCCACCCAGCTACCCTGGAGCTGGAGTTGAACCTTCTTTGTCAGCCTTATCTGGTGGTAGAAAAAACAACAGCCATCCTAAAATCAGCTCAGCACAGTGCTCTACTCTTCCTCTGTTCTGGCTTCCCTGCAGTCCATGTACAGCTGATCCTGTTGCCTCAGTGGGATTAACCTCGGGGCAAATGCTCTGAAAAATCAAGCATTCACTTCATGGGGCCAAATGTATTTTGGTTTTGGGTTCTTTGATTCCTTTCTTCCCATTAGCAATTGTCCTCTTATCCTCCTGACCTTTATTCTGCTCTCTCCCTTGTGCTGTACAAATATCCCTGAAGGCAGAAAAAGAGGAAAATGACCTCTCATCAGCTGAGCTTGCTTTGGAAAGCAGCACCTCTGCCATGCGAGGAAGGAAAGGAATTGCCCGCCGTGCTTGCAGAGCTGCAAGCCTATGGTGAGGGCGAGACGGATGTAGTTATTCTCCATAAGTGCAAGATTGTGACAGAAATCTGTTTTAGTGTGAGGTTAATGACCCAGAAGAGACACAGAAGCCAATGTCAATTCAATAGACTCCCTTTGGACTCCTTAGTGCGATCTACAAGCTTTAGGATGGACAGCCCTCCTCTAGGCCATTTCTGTGCTCTCCACTTGCAGTTCTAAGTGAGCCATAAATATTTCAAATTAAGTTTTCAGCGGGTTACTTCCAACAGGCAAGGACAAGCCCTCTGTATGCTTCCTGTGAGGTGACTGACTCTCCAGAAAGCACGGCTGTCATCACTGTCTGGTTTGAATGACTTATTTGTCGTGCACAACTCAGGTGGGAGGCCATTAGCAAGGAAGCCTGAAATTCAATCCCAGATCAGTCTGAGTAAATCTTCCTTCATGCACTCAGGTAGCAACAAAGGGCTTGTATATGTTTCATTTAAACAAATCCTAATTGCCCTAAATGCAAGTACACCCTAAGAAAGAAACACAAAAAGAGGCAGATTTAAATGGCTATGTGTCCCTGACAAATACAAATATCACTTTAATACAAAAAATAATTTTGGCAAGTTATGAACTGCTTTTGTTTACATATCCACCCTGTTTCTCACAAAGTCTCATTCTGTAGCTCTTGGCTAGAAGCTGGTTGCTCTAGCCCCATGCATTGGCAAATGTTGTAAAGGCTGAGAGGCTGGGTGCTGCAGTGGGCTGTAAATGCACATGCACTCGTGTGCACATGCACTCACTGTGCACACACGACACATGTTGTGGTCATGGCTTTTTGGCCTCTAATATTCTGATCCAGTTCTTGACCACCCTGTATCCACATGAAACCAAAACTGTAATGGTTGGTTTCTGCTGAAGATTCGCATGAAGAGTCTGAGCCAAAGGTTCTTTTCCTTCTCCCTCTTTCTGTGCACTGAGGATAAGAGGCATCAGGGGGTCAGTGGTGAGTTACTGTGCAAGGCACCATGAAATCACAAAAGGAAAGGTGCTATGCAAGCAACCATTATCATCACTGTCATTAGCAAAGCAGTGGGAGGGAAGGAAGACAAGATAAGGACATCAGTCTGCAACATCTGTGATTTGCATTGCTCACAGCGCTCTGTGAATTCCTGAATACTAATTACATTACCTGGTTAGCTGCAAGCTCCCCTCTGAGATCTTTCCCTTCTGTGGGAGAATTAGAAAGAGGATAGGAATGAAATTTCTGTGGCTCACAGCTTTTCAAGGAAATGTCAGACTTTAAACAAAGCCCACTAACTTTGTTCCTGGATGGATGCTGTCAAAAATAGCTGCTCTTTTTTGATCAGTTCTTCCTCACTGCCTCCTGCTCTGGTTCTGAATGAATGATTCAGGATCTGTATATAAGCTATTTGTGCAAGGGTTGGCTCTCTCAGGTCCCAGATGACGCAAATTCAGCTTTCACTGCACATCCTCAGCTCAAACTGGGGCAGTACGGTCCAGCAGTACAGTTAGTGCTAACCTTGCACTGTCAGCCTGGAGTAGAAACGAGTGCTGTCCTGTTTCTGTGTGTACCCAGAGTACCCAATATGCCAGGACTCTGCCAGGTGTACATGAGTGAAAACCAACCACCGCTGTGAACTGGTTGCGAATTGAGTATTGTTTACAAAGTGGATATTGCAGTAGACTGGGAAGGATGGAGGGCTCTATTTATCATGGTTTAGAGATTTATGTAATTATGACTTTCATGAGAATAATTTCTTTTGGACTTCCATTTTTTTCAGCAGCAAAAACTTGCCAGATCTTCTGCCCTTCCCTCAGCCAGAGGTTTTTCTTTGGTGTAGAGTATCTTGCTATCAGGTGCCCTACCCACACCCGGCTCTGCTGAGGCACAACCTAGCAGCTGAACTTTTGCTACCACAGTCCCTGCATTGTTTACACACAGAAACGCACGTAACTTCCAGACATAGGCTTTCAATTGCAGATATCAGCATCAGATTATCATGTAATTGAGGGAGGAGGAAAGGGAGTTTTAACACATCTTAAATTCCGGGAGCTGTAGACAAAGGGGCTGGGCTGATGGGCTTTTGATTGCTTTCTGAAATGGTTAAGTCAATACAGAGTTCTACTACATCACCTTTGCAATCACACATTGCCTTTCCAAACCGGGGTCCAGATGCACGGAGCCACCCACCCCTGGATGTGCAGCTGTATTGGAAGAGGGCTTCTTTTGTACGCACAATAACTAGAGCCTCTGGATTAGCACACAGACTGAGTCCGTACCTTCTCTGGGGTCTTTAGCCTTTCCCACTGGCCCATCCCGAAGTCCTCCATGTTAGCAAGGCTCAGTTTAAGTTCCCCCACAATGCTGTGTCTGGAGAACTTGTCGCAGTTTCTCAAGGTAAGAGTCAGTGTCCCCTCTTGCATCTCCTCCTCAGTTAATGGAAACCGCAAGGCCTCCTCCCAGAGGGTGTGAAGCACCTTCTTCTTCAGCTCTGTCTGGGCTTCAGTCATGCCAGATTTACTCACCAGTGTGCCCAATATGTAGCAATGGCAGCCAGCATCTTGGTCGCTACTCATTTTGCCATGCATAGCTGGAAAGGAAAGATTGACTGTAAATACCTTTCACAAAGCATAGTCCTGAAGAAGTCCAAGTAGAGAATCGTCAGTAGCAGATTTCTGCCTCTTACCTTCCAGAAGGGCCACACACAGCTCAGCTTTTTGTTGATCATACGTGAGGGAATAGCGCAGTTCAGGGACCTGGTTACAGCTGGCTGCCCGCTCGGGCTTCAAATGCTCCGTGACACACACATCCTTTACCACACCTGGAACTGAAGTAACCCCATTAGCAAGGAAGTCTTTTCCTTCCAGGATAGACAAATCCATCTTGTCTTAACTCTTCTATATGGTTTACTATTCTTGTAAGTTGTACGCAGGAATATCATTTCTGTTCCTTCTTCCCTTGTCGTATCTCCTTCTTGCTGCCTTTTCACACATTCAATTCCTTCCACAGCACTTGGACAAGCTTCCTGCTACCTCCACCAACCATGTGTTCTAAGGTGGTTCACACATTTGCTCCTTCACCTTGTGCCAAAGCCAAGGTGCCTAAACTATTTGCTTGTTACTGTATTGTTTTATATACATTTTTTACACACGTTTGTGTAAAAAACCCTTGTGGTTTTTTTTTAACTGAGAATTTGAGCCTGCTTTAGAGCTACCATGCAACTCGGCATTAATTCAAGCCTCTATAACCTTTTTTAAAATTTATGTTAACACTACAGTCTTTGTCATGCAGAAAGCCAATGTGACATCTATTCCCATGGCACTTAACCATACTGAGGATAGTGAGCTTGGGAAGATGTGAGGCAGTTTATCCATGTATGATTTTGAAGCTGAGAACACATTGCATACTGAAATAAAGTAAGAGACAAGACTAAAAGGGAAGCCGCATCTTTCTATCATCAATATCTTTTATCTGTAAGATCTGTTCTTACTCACATAGAAAATAATAGAGGGACTGCACATTTCCTTCAAAAAATCTCAGCCACAGTCCCAATCAGTTCAGTGTGGCACAAAAAGGAGAATGCAACAAGTCTTGTTTTATTTCAGTAATATGAAATCAGGTGCAGCAGGAAGCAGATTTGTGCCATTAGCAGTGCAGAGGGGCTCTTACACCAACACTCTTATGTAGAGCTTTAATCCACGTGGTGCCACCATCTTTCAGGCTCTACGCCTTATGACTGTCTTCCAGACACCAGGGATGTGTCTCAAACAGTCTTTTCTTCTAATGCAACTGCTTCCCATGTGTAGTGGAAATGCTAAGCCAAGGCCTGAACCAGCGATTGAGCACCTGGTGGGAAGGCAGGGCCAACCCAGGGGAGCTCAGGTGCATGCAGTGTTCCTAAGTGACTGGAAGAGCTGGAGCCAGGATCCACCCCTTCCCAGACCCCATTTAAGGGTTGGCAGTAGAAGCATGGGTGTTTCACTGGAGATCGTTGCCTGCCTGAGGTCTTCTAAAGGTAAGTAAGTTTTCTCATTTTGTTTCTGTGTTTACAGATGTTATGTTTGGGTTTGTCCCCATTTGCTGCAGTCTGAGGTTTTGCTATCCCTCTGCTATTACTCTATTTTCATCACAGGGTAGCATTACACCATGATACTCTTTAGTTTTTTTTGTGCTTGCAGGTTTCAGGTGGAGGGGCTTTAAGTGATTTACATTAAGTGCCCCCCTCCTTCCTCCAGTAAGGACAAAAATACACTCATAAGTAATATAAGTAGAAAGAGCTCAAAAAAAAAAAGTCATGACAGATGGCACTGTGTCTCTGGCAAATCACCAGGAAGGTTTCATTAATATGGCAATATAGTAACCATAGGAGTCAGTTATGGTGTTAAAATAACAGCTATGCAGGTAAAAATTGTTATGGAAGCAACCCAGGCATGCTGCCAGGTGTATATAATTAATGTTACATTTTTCTCTTAGGCTCCAGGAATCTTACGTTCTAGGCTTTTGCTTGCTACCTTTTGGACTGGCTGTAAAACAAGAATGCTGTTTGGCAAAAAATGTCTTGAGGTGTCAGCTTTTAGTTTCACTTCACATTACAACAAACCAAGACCATCTCGTAGAACTGGTGGAATAAAGAAGCAGGAAAAATAAAGCAGAAACTTGAACTCATTCCACTGATGTCCCTGATACAGGCTGTTACTGGACAGCTAGCAGTCTTTCTGGAGGAGCAGTACTGCCTAGTATTTTACCAGGTATTCCACCTGTATTGTGGCAACAGCTCTTGGTAAAACTTCACACTGAATACATGCTTTTCAACATGAAACCTGCTTCCCAAGAGCAGGTTCTTCATCAACAAATTGTTTAGATAAAAAAAAAAAAATACAACCAGTTGTAATTATGGATTTGTTGTCTAGATTTCCTGATGTACTACTTGATTACTTAATATTAAACACATGCATGTAAAAAAGAGCTCACAATCCTCATGGTAGGAGAGTGAAAAGCACTCAGTGTCTTCATTTCCACGCTTATTAGTCTAACTAGCATCACATAATGTTCAAAAGTATTGAAGATCTACACCCTGAAAAGAAATCTTTAGTCTGATAGTCTGAAGACCAAATGTTCCTACCGTTTTGAGGGAGAATGAACAATTCTTCATTTACTTGTATCTTCATCCTGTTCTCATCCAAAACAGCGTGTTTTACAGTGGCTGGTTCTTCTGTTGTCTTCAAGGAGTATTGTGTGTAGTTAACAACCTCAGGTGAAGTTACAACAGGTTTGGGGCCATAAATGTTAGGAAACTTCAGGAGAGCTCGAGGCTGGACTGGCTCTGCAGTTTTCTTAACATTGAACTGAAAATTTAAGACAGTATTTATAATTTTTTCATTAATTCTTTTGAATCTCTATGTCAAATGAACTGATACAAAGAGAAATAAGATGGTGTCCCTGGTCATTCTTGCTGCCGTTGTTTCTTAGGTTTAGAGAAACAACTGCCTTCCTATGTGTCAAAAGACTTTCTTGCCAAATCTGTTACCAGTCTATTTGGTGCATGTCTTCTTGATTAAGAGTTTACCTTTACCTCTGATTTATACAACATTTCAAGCAAACTTGTAGAAAGCATTAGGAAGGCAAAAGCATAGGTCACAGTCATGTAAAAAGACAAAGGAGAAATGGTTGAGCAGACCAGCTCTGCAACAGCACTCCAAGAATAGTAGAGTCAGTGGTCTATCAGTTTCTGGGATATCTGTTGTCTCTGCAGACCAGAGTTCCATTTGATCCTTAGAAACATGTTACTCTTTTATTATACAAGAACTGACGTTTCGTTTGAGTTTGTTCTTACAAATTCATTTATCTGCTGACTGCTGAACATGGTATCAACAGAAGAACTTGAAAAATGGTGTGATGCCCTGGCAGACTGGGCAAAGGTTGACACAGGATTGTATTTTCTCCCAGCAATGAAAAATATTTTAGTGGAATGTAACAGTCATCTTTTCTTCATATCTCATGAAAGAATCCCATATGCTCACAACTGAAATAATTTCTTATTCATTTGTATTTGGGTTCATCAACAGGGAAGAACAAAAGCTGGCTAGCAAATGAGCCTGACCCTCTCGTCAGATTTTGTTAATATTTCCAAAGTATGTAAAAGAAAATGCGGAAGTAAGACTGCCATTCTGTTTGATTATTGTGCACAGGGATTCTCTCCAACCCCACTGCCTGCCAACCTATTCTATGTTCAGTGTAAAATGAAGGTGAGCCAAAAAGTATTCATAACTGTAATTAAGTTCTTCATTAGTGTCATTGTTTCCTATTAATGAAGAATGTAGATGATGCCCTGAAGCATTTGTCTGTGTTGGGACTGTGTGGTCCCAGTTTGTATGTCCTGAGGGAGATTAGCTATTCCTCAAGAAGTAGAGCTGGAGAAAGAGAGTAGTCTTGGTCTCTAGATCTCTAGTCCATGTTCTACTTTTGTGTATCATAGCACTGCAGTTACATGGATTTGGCAGTGATAAAGAGCTAATTAGGTCACTCACTCCATCTTCTCAAGGCAACTGGTGCACTGATGTTTAGGAAGTCCATTGTGTAGCAGCACTTTCTCTTATCTAATTTTAAGGACGCTTACTCAGAAGTGAGTTGAAAAAGAACCACATCGCTGTGTGCAGATACCTGCCTAGCATTCAGCTGAGTTTAGGTATTATGTAAGTCATATAGCGCTGGTTTATAATAGCAATGTAGTGAAATCCTTCTCGTAGAGATGTGAGTCTCATCAGTCCTAAAATACATAGGAAGTTTAAGTAACTTATCAAAGCCTTTCATTCTTCAGATCAAGACCAATCAATCAAAATATGTTAGGAACTAGTAGACAATAGCTTGAAGAAACAGGATATTTTTGTTCTGAAAGGACTCTAAACACTCATACAGTGTGTGCTATGGCAGCTGCTGCCTGTTCTTTCTTTCTTGACCCTGCTGTATGAGGCTGCTGTTTTAGCCATTGATCATCACACCACAGCAGCAAGCCTGGGTGCTATGTGCATCTCACATATGAAGCACTCTGGGGAATCCTTTGGGATGAAAAATACTGTACAAGCTTGAGGTATTGTTAGCACAATCTTCTTTGCTTGCTAAAAGGAAGATACTTAGTCAGGAAATCCATCAGCGCACTGCAACTAAGAGCTCCACTGGGCCTAAATATTCTTCTAGTCTGTCTGCTCAGTAGAATTAGAGATGAGAGACATATGTGAGCACAGTGGGACTAGCCCACCCCCTCTTCCAACTGCATCTGCCTCTGTTTATTATTTTTGCTGCCAGCTCTGTTCCCAAGTGCTGTCTGTAAGCTACTTGCAGAGCTGTGCCCTATGGAAGTTTCCTTTGCAGCAGCAGTATCTTAAATACAGAGAATTCTGGTAGTTCTGCATAAAATGTGTGAAAGCAAAGACACCAAAATTAGCTGGGAGGCTCTAGCTGACCCTTCTTTGTCTGGCAGTATTGACGTTCAGAAAACACACCAGATTGTTGCCACTTCTGGATGTGTTTAGGCATTTGAACCTGCACCTTTTGCTGACATTTTGCACATCTACAGCAGCTAGTAATTGTTCTATGGATGTATCTTTGTATTTGAACTCTTCCTTCTCAAGTATGCAGGGCATGTCCATGGGGAGCCTCTGTCTATAGCAAATACAAGCATCGGTGTCGTGGGAGACATGCCAAGTAAATAAAATACAGACTTGCTTCATCTTTCTATTGTCATCTCTGTTTTTCAGAATCAGTGACCCTGACAAGCTTCAGTAATTAAGCATGCCAAACAATGACTAGGATATGCAGTTGTCCCAATAGGGCAATTCACAAATGTAGATTGCGGAGGATGTAACTAAGGCACAAGCGCAGAACTCAATTTGAGATTTATTCCTTCAAGGAAAGAAGGCTAATTGTGATTCAGTGAAAGCACAGGAGAATGCATGTGCCTGGCAACAAAACTGTTTAAATTGGAAAGAATTGTTAAAGAATACGCAACTATGAACACTTTGCTCTTTCTGTTACAGAATGCTCATTTGGCTGCAATAATTTGTCCAGATTTCTTAAAGAAACAAAGAAAAGGTCTGTAATGCTAAAAACATTAAGTCATTTGTAGAAGAGTGATACATTGAGGATAGGTTGAATAACTTGATGTATTGATCAAACACTGGAATATGTTGTGGCAAGACCTGATGTAGAAATGTTGTGAGGACTATAACCCATGAAATGCTGGGTACTGGAGTCTTAATTGTATTTGGGGCCATGGCTGGACTTCTTGGTGACTCACTGGTATTTCACTCGTGTAAAAAGGATAATGCCTTAAAGGACAAGCTCAGAGTGTATTAATGCTTTCCCAAAATATTTCACAGAAGGCTGTGTGAAATCAAATAATCATTCCAAAAATTAAGTTTAAATAATGATTTGAGAGGTTTTTGAGATTAAAAAAGCAACAACAACAAATCTTTTGTACAAAGAGATTAGGAAAAAAATGCTATGCAAAGTGATGATGACTGTCAAAGATCCACACTTCTCAAGCACTTTAACAGCAAATTTCAAAAATCTCAACAGTACTGCACATCTTTTTATACAGAAGTTTATGGGTTAGACAAGAAGGGAGATTGGTGAAGACTTCACAAACTATCAAAGCGGGCAGATAGCAGCTGAAATTCATCTTAGGAAAATGCAAGCCAATGCAACACTAGAAAGTGTTGACCACGCTTGTGGAAGAATGGTCAGAATTAGCAGGGATCTCCAGAGAAGTCCTAAGCTTGGTGCAGGTGTTCATTCAGTCATGGTCAGTGGAGCCTCCTTCCATCCTCCTGCCATCAGAAGCTATTGTGATGCTATTCTGCTTCATGTGCTACAGTATAACTTATAGATATGGTCATCTTTCCTCAGAATAATTTGTAACAGGAGAATGGGTGAAGCACTGTACTGAGAGCTGAAGAGCAGTACCCAGAGAAAGACTGAATACATAATGATACACATTACAGAGAAGTTCAGCTAGGACTCCTGCTATGCTCTTTAGTACAAAAATGACAGGCAGTTCTGATAATTAAAAGGCAAATGAAGACTCTTTTGCAGTGGATCACCAGCCTTTGGACTTGGTTGCTGTGGCATAACATTTGGCTGAACAGCCAGGTGGAAGTGATGTGGGCTTAGGCATGTATAAGCCTCAAGAACCAACAGGTATTATTTCCAGGGACTGATGGGTTGCTATTCTGGATTCTAACAAGAAGGAAGGCTCATGCAAGGATTACTGATGTTACCAGTATGTCACACTGTTCTTACAGTGAGTAACAGAGGAATCCACAGCATGCTGAGATTGTTCAGTCATCACAACACAGATTCTCACTCACGTTTTTATTATCACTTCAATCCCTGGTTTTAATTTCACCAATAATTTATCACACCCCCCCCCCCCCCCCCCCCCCCAGTTAGAGGGGCAGAGGGAAGAAGAGGGATGATTTATCTCAAGAAACCAGCTGTTGAGAGGGAACTATCCTGCAGGAACCATAAGATGCTGTGAACAGAGCTAGATAAATAGCTGGTACAGGAGATCTCAGCAGGAGTCTTGTCATTATAATGCTGTGTGCCACCTGGTAAAGTCCAGTCTTCTGTCCTTGGGAAACAATTTGTCTTGTGACCAGACTGACAGCTGAGCAGCCTTTTCTCCTCCCCTCCTTCCCTATTTTTACCATTAACAGCTTTTTCTTTGGCAGTGTGGCAGCTGTCTGCTGCTCTGATAATTCTGTGGGTCACCCAGCTCCCATCTCCGTTCCCCTCAGTCTTCCTCCCATTAACATGATGTTACATTCTGAACACAGTAAGCAGATAAGTAGGCAGCATAAACCACATGCTGAACAGCTTAATAG